GTAACGTTCCTTCCGGCGAAATTAAACATCTTCCTTCGCAACGTTTCCACGCCGTGGCTGTCGAGATGCGCGTCTTTGACGCGCTCGAGGCGTCGACAACAATTTAGTGGTCGTTTTTAGAGAGCGCACTTTCTTCCGTGATTACGCGGTTGTATAATCCTGCGCTAAGGTTCACGGATGATTAATCGGACGCGCGGAAAAATTGCGGTTCGAGGAATAGTTAACGTTCACGGAGTGTTTCTCCCACGTAAACGCGAAAGTTCGGTGGCAATAACTTCGATGAAATTGATTTTTGCGGTGGAGTCCGGTTCTCAGGTTGTAAATCTTTCGGATACCACTGTAGAATGTTAATATCTCCGCAGCTCCTTCGGGGTTAAGGTAAATTTCCTTGGATGGAACTATTCGATTCAAGATTGATAGAACACCTTATCACAGAAAACTATATACGTCAATTGCGTCCTGTTATACGAGTTACATCGAGATTATATTACATCGAAAGCGTAATTAATGAATATCACATTACGTGACTTTTTTCCCCTAATACAACTTACCAATTGTACCTACGATGCCAAAAGTAATAAAATAATTCAATAAAGAACAATATCCAGCCGCTTAACAATGAACGAGACACGGGTCTTTAACTTCAATTCCATCCACTGGCTCATCAAATCCTCCCGCTGGATTCTCACGCAACCAGCCGCGGGTGTACAGGGTGAACCACAAATCGTGATCAGTAGAGATTACTCTATTATTAGCAGTCCGATCGAAAACGTTTCTATCAGGTATATCATTGTTTCACTAGAGCTTTCACGTGATTATATCAAATTTGTCGTCAACTCTTTCTTTTCATAATTTTTCAAGGTCACCTTTAATTTTTTGCAAATACACATATAATTTTTTTACGCCTATCTATTAGAAGATTTCAAGACGAATTCGATAAGTATCATAACGTAGCACGTATTACTTTTTTTTTCATCTGGTTCGAGAAAAGATTAAAGAAATATTCGAACTGTAATATTACAAAGAGTATCGTATGCTACGTCATTGTACGCGTTCCGATGTTGAGCTCTTGCCTGCCGTTTGTAAACATTTCGTTCTGTACATTGCAACACACCTAATGATATCTACTGATCACGATTCGTGGTTCACCCTGTATACCTGGTCGGACGTCGCGGAACAGCTATTGCACAGTGGCGTCGTCGGGCGCTAAGACAAATACACGCTGGCTCCCGCGCCAAATAGGGGCGGCTGGTTGCGCCGCAAACGAAGACCCATTGTGGAGTCATTTGAAAAGCCGCAAAGGCTCGGTTCCGGCGCGCGTGTCGCCAGAAACGAACGGTTCTACGGCCGTGGCCGACGGCCAGCGGCTCGGCTCGGCGCTAAAAGACGGCCTAAGGTCTAATCTGCATTTTAAACGAGCCGTGTGCTCTCTCGCTGGCCTACGCGGCAGTATGGGACAGAAGGGAATCGGCCTGCGCTTCGCCTCTCCTCGCCACATTCGACCATTTATACGCTTGTGTCGCTTTCCTTTGGGCTTGGCGCGCCGCGTCCCAAATCGTATTTCATGTAAAGTCTCTGGGATAGATTCTTCCTCCCTTGGATGATCGCATGCATTGAAATGTTGTGTGGGAAGAGATGATTCGGTGCTGATGAACCTGTTGATTTTTCAGCGTTTTCTTGGGCCCGCATTGTTTAAGTATGTTGGAAATATTACTCCAGGGCTTTTGATTTTTATTAAGCGCCATAGTGTTTTGGGGATTCTGGCGTCGTGGCCAGATCTTTTAGGAACAAATGTTCTTATTCCAAAGGTAACGCAAGTGTGGGCTGCTTGCCATCTCTGGCTTTCTTTCATTTGTTTTACATAAAGAACCATCTACGTCACCGGTAGCCAAAGGACCCAAGACAATTCTCACGTACTCGAAGATACACAGTACTTCCTCCATATAAAGATACTTCGTCTATCTTCGTATAATCGTATGATCATCCCCACCATGTGTAAAAGCTAACACAACTAAATCAGACGAAACATATTAGTCCCAAATATACGACAACAGGAGTGAAACACCACATTCCATAAATTCTACCGAATCTTAACACAAGGATGAAGTGAACACCAAGAACCCCAGGGCAATACCCAGGATAAACGATCACCCAACAGACCAATGACTATCCGGGTGGTCGAATCATCTCGTACGCGTGACTTTATCGGCAACGGAGAAGAATGGAAACAATGTGTCGGCGAGCACGCGGCATTGTTCATTCATTTCATTCGCCAGCGCCCGGCGTCCTTCTCGCAGCCGCTGTTCCGTAGGCCCCAGAATCTGGGCCAGTTCCTGCTGGCCGGCGTTCCCCCGGCCACTGTGCTCGATAAACACGCGAAAGAAACCGCAAACACGTGCCACGTGACACACACGTACACACGTACCTGGACTTAATTAAGCCGCATTCCCGTTCCGATTGCGTAAAACTCTTCCATCGCGTGATATGATCTCTCGACGGGGCCGGACGGACCCCGCCGATTACCACGCGTGAGAAACGACTTTTTCACGATCGGTATCGCGTCACGATGGAATTCGACTGTCACCTCAACGGGCCCGGTTTCCGAATCGGGACCGTCTTCGTCCCCGGTCCACGACTTATTATCTTTGTTATTTACTGCTCGGTACCGGCCGAAGTACCTCTTAGTATCTACGATCTTTGCGCGACTGGTTGACATAATGGGCCGAGGTTGAAGCTCATTACAGCACGTGTTACGGCCGGTTAATTCGATTAGCGTATTATTAGGGAATGTTTACGTGTCTAGGATTATATAACTGGGTTGTGGTTTCTGTTTAGGCGGGAAACATTTCGTACCTCACAGCAGTTTAGTGGATATATTGACAGGTGATAAAAAGAGAATTGTATTTATGGAATGCTTGATAGTACAAGTACCTGAGACAGGAGTGTAATCTTACAATATAATGTACAATGTATGTAATTCCAAGGGTAGTTTCTTCTTTAGTGGAAAGAACACTTCTACTATTATTATCAAAATTTAACTGAACCTTCTCTGTATCCTCTGAGCGTATAACCAAGTGGATTTCGAACACACCAAAAATAAATTCTAAAACTTTTCGGAATCCCAGGTAAGTTTTATGATTTTCTAATAAAAATATCAGCCACTAAACTAATCCGTAGCTTCAGTCTATAATACCAAATCGTCTATTTTTCTAAGTAAAGCGAGTCGTTCCAAACCAGACACTTAAGACAGAGCGGTTTCGATCAAAAGCAAGTTGACATCTTTGCCCACAAGTCCAACCACAACTCATCAGTCCTAAGACATTGTCCCGAAGACAATAATCCTAATCGAATTAGTTTCTTTCATGATCAATACCCATTGATGATGTTAAGTGGCTTCGTTGCTACGAAAAGGGCCACGAAATTGCTCGCAAAGTGGAGGGTCGTAATTTCCTCCGCGGAATCTTCGTCTCGTTTAGTTTCCAATGGCTGGTATGCAGTCAAGGTGTGAGCATACCTACCGATCGCTTCTTTACGCGCGCTGCACCGTCTAATTGCTTACACGTTGGGTCGCGGCGCATCGATGCACGTGGGCGAAACACGAGGGGGCGCGCGCATTGCTGCGCAGCCACGCTCTGTGTCCTTTCAGAGTTTGTGACGAAGAGACCCCGGAATCTGATGCATCCGTTCTTGGCATTTCGTGACTTGAAATTTATTAAATTTGATACCAATAGGCTACTAAGAGACTGAGACTACGACGACGATTAATTACCCGGATTGAGTCAATTGGACAGATTAGCTTGAAGAACTTTAAGTACAGTGTCTAATACATTCGTTTATGGAACGATATTACATTTGCTTGGCCAAACTAGATAGAAAGGTGCCAATCTTATTTCACGGTTAAGAACACTATATCGTAGAAAGATGGTGACAGCAAATATAATAAGGATAAGTAAGTATGATTGGTTTGAACTACTTTATACTTCAGTTTTATGTGGATGATGACTTGTCCAAGATCAATCAGAACCTAGAACTCTGATGTTCAATGCGTTAACAAGCTGAAATGTTCAGTAGTACCAACCACAAGCTTCTAAATGGTTTGTAGTCCACAACTCCCACTTAAAGGGATTCCCTAAGTTAAAATTAAAATTCCAATCGAAAGTTCAAACATCATCCATGACGCGATACCTAAATTAACGATGTGATGTGTTCAGAATTGTGTCCATCTAGCCACAAGTGGTGTCGCAATTTAGATGCACCGGTGTTCCCTGGTCCCGGCCACTAAACGCGATTTGTAAACTGATTTAATTCAGACCAGATTCCGAGAAGCATGCTGAGTGAAACCGTGGGACAGCCCATCATTCAGCCAGGGCACGTCTCCTCAATTTTGGGCGGTTCCCGCGTAACGTTGATTACTCTCTAATCAGCGTGATTAACGTTCCCTCTGCTCGCGCGCGGGCTTGGCTGCAATTACTCTCCCTTTCGTGTGTAACTTATTTAGAGGAATTTCATTAGCCGCGAAGCTTCCGGCTTGGTTTTAATTAATCGTCCGGATTGTCCAGGGGGGCCTTCTGAACCGCCCCTTCGCGGATTACCGAAGGGGGGAGGATCGAATTGATGTGGGAAGTAAAGGGCGAATCGCCTTTGCGTGTTTACAAGCTCGATCTTCTTGGATTTGTTTGGCTCCGGCCCGTCGAAGAATTACAGCGTGATCGTAGCGGGTGATGTACCGTGTCAATAAAGATAGCGTGGCGCTCGTAGCCGCTTGTAGATGCTGTTCAATCTAGTCTGTTCCTCGGGAAAGCTTTCCTATCTTCGAGGATACGATGGCGACATGTGCGAAATTCTACATACATTTAGAATCTTGTACCGATTATAGTCATTGAGACGAAGATACAGCTTTTCAATATGAATTCGTATAAATTGAAATAATTGGTTACAGTACAGTATACATATTTTGACTGGTATTACTGTAAAATAAGTAGTTAATACTTCATTAGTAGATGTCAAATGTGAGTAATTGCATATTCAATATACTATTCCTCTCTACTTGCAGTCATCTATGGATTCATTAGAGATGTCTCCTATTAGGAGCAAATAATTAAAATTGAAGATTAAATATGATTTTTCAATTGAAAAAGTGAATATGTGGATGGAACAATATTAAACTGAATTCTGTTGGTTCTGTTACAGGGGAACGAATCCGTGGTACCAGAAGGCTGGCCTCTGACGTTAGGCAGACGTGGCCTCATCCTGCAGCTAGGAGAGCTCGAAGCCTCCGCACTACGTCTCGGGGAATGTTACCTCTGCATACGCAGCGCAGCTGCAGTTGCAACCACCTCGGGGAGCGGCGAAGCGGCCGCTGGTGAAACCGTCGAGCGGAATACCGTCGAGGTGAGTCACTGTTCCTTTGTCAATTTTCCTTTTTTTCCATTTTGATCCGCGGCCTTCAGTCCCCGAGTTTCCGTGGAACGATCGAGGAACTTCTGGATTACTTCAATAGGATACTTCAATCAACCTTGACTTACATAGAGACGAGACTGTTCATTTAGAAAATCTCGAAATTGGAAATAATCTAGTAGACAAGTGAATTCGTTTCATTCGGAATGTCTATCGGAGTGTCCACATTTTTATGAATGACTATACGCTAATTACAGGAGTATATAATTTCATTCGGTATTTGACTGATAAATAAAAGAGTAAGCTACAATTATTCCACACAATATTCACGAATCGTTAGCAGCACAACATTCGAATGATCAAGATGAAGATCAATACTTTTATTCGCTTTTTCAAGAAACACATCGAAATACTGAAGGTTATTCAAGAAAGGTGTCGAACAATTCAGAAGCAGGCATAAAAAATTCGTTTGCCTCTTAACAGTAATTAAACCTTTTACAGAATATTAGGACATAAGTATTCCTTGAAATGAACATCAAACCTACAAACTAATATCCCAATAACTCCTCAATACCCAATCGCAGCCTGAAAACCGCTCACCTGTTTAATTCACCAAATTTCCCGGTAGATCGCAGTAGTTTGGAGAACGACGTCGATGAGGGCCCCAGGGTTCCTCGGTTGGGACCGCGAGGAGGAGTTCATGGACTGGCGGGAGGTGTCTGGAAAAGGTCAGGGCAGTTCGAGCAACGGCGGCACCAGTATATCCGGCAACCAATCCGCGAACGTGGTGAAGGGTACGCGTCTTCGGAGACGATCCCGCGAGGAGACGCGCTCGCGGAGCCGGGAGGGTTGCACGATCGATCATCGTCGCGAGGAGACCCGGTCGATCGATAGGTTGGAGTGCAAGAGTTCGAATGAGAGCCGTGTGATCGTCAGCGAAGTAGAAACGGGTCACGCGGTGATGAAGTCCAGGTCGACCTCGAGCGTGGACACGTGGAAGGCGGAGTTCGACGGGGATTTGAACGGGGTCGCGACCCGGGTCGGCTCGAACAACCCTTCTAGTCTTTCCGGCGACGAAAGTCGCGCCAAAGTGAAGAGGTGTGCCAAGGTAGTCTCGACGTCGACGATGGAGAAGTGGAAGGAGACGACCAGATGCGAGACCAGGAGCAAGCTCCTGGCTCCGGAGGACCTGAAGACCCCGCTGCGATTGGACAAAGCTGTCCTCGAGCAAAAGAAAGGCGGAAATGCTGACGGCGAAACGGAAGACAGGTTGCAGAACGCGAGAAACGTGGACGACGTCAGTGACGACGATTTACCCGCTTTCATCGGGAATCTTCTGATCTCGGTGGAGAGGAAGATCGAAAGGGTCTCCTTGGACGACCTGACGTTCCCTTGTCCAGCGTGCAGGAACATAGACACCGACGATCCTCTGCTTGGATGCAGGTGCGCGGGGGACGATTGTAGCTGCGGAGCTGGGGAGGACACTTGCGATTGTTCACCCTCGACGAAGGCGAGGACCGAACAGTCGGCGAGGAGCTTCGAGGTCGCGGGGATTAAGCATATTGATAGCGACGACGAGGAGGAGGTGCGGATGGGTTTCGGTGAGTAATTTTGTCACAGTTTGTTGTATCGATTCGTGTGCCGTGATATTCGGGCGCTGGAAGTCTTTTCGTGGCAGAAGCAATAGCCGTTTTAATATTGGAGAAAGGTAACGACAAATGAAGGAAGTACATTAATTTGATTAATCGAGTCTGGAATAGCTAGGAATTATTAACCGTTGGTTCTATGCAATTCAGACCTAATTCATACACGAGACCCGTAACATCATCAGCAATTTCTCAATTCTGTAGTACAGTATACTTGAGTCCCTCCACACACAAGTCAATTGTAAACCTTGCGGTACTCAAAGTAAATATATTTATTATATTATCATCGATATATTCTTGACTCACCGGGTTTCCAACAATACAATGAGAACTAAACAACCCCTCTGGTGTCTAAAAATAGACTTCCCCTCCTCTACAGATTAATAAGGGTAGAATGAAAAAGGAGCTAGATTGGTAAACGATACACCACGCAAGTAAGACCTAGAAAGTGGGGTCTTAGGGTCAATATGAAGTCACGTTCTCCTCTCAGATCCCACAACAAAACGGTCCACAGAGCCTCTCTCTGACGTCCGAACCTTCCGATTCCCGGTACAGAGAAGTCGCCTCGCCTACGACCGTCTCGAACAACTTCATGCGCCTGGCATGATTTACCGAAGCCCTCGATGAACTTGAAATTCTGTCGGAAAGCGACGACGCGTGGGTCGACCGCCGCAGTAAAGTGGCTACTTTGCGTCACCGGTGGCCATTGAGGCGCCACCTATGGAAAAATGTCGTGCATATAGAGAGGGACCTATGTAACGTTCCAAGAACGCATCGGGGCCTGATTGTCCGCTGGAGCAGTCGGTCTCGTCTCGGGCATTATGCATTTTACTCGAGTCTCTCGTTCCTACTCGAGTAACAGGCGGATGAGCCAGGCCCCGTCTCAGCTATCGCCTCTCTCTCTCTCTCTCTCTCCCTCTACGACAGAAGATAAATACGAGTGTCGGCGTATCGACGATACGTTACGTGTCTCGAGTAGCAACATTTGCATTTCGAGAGTTCGTGTTTAATTAGAGAGCCGACCGACGGCACGCGCGGCTCCTGGAATCCCGACAGCTGCCGCGAGACTGTTTTCACACTCGAACGATTTAGAACCGTGCGCGGCGAATGGAATCAATTCTCTTGCCCGTCTTGCCACGGGAAAATACGTCTACGTTTTTCTCTGTGGACCGTGACGAGTAATGGGCCTTGCATTTGTGAAGCTTGAGTGACTTGAATCTTTGGTTTTCGTGTAATTGAACCGCAACTGTGATCGTTCAATTTATGCTGGAGGGTATTAATGCCGATTGAACTGTCGACAGAGTGGTCAGGGGGTGATGAGCCGTTTGGTGATTTGTGGCGTTTGGAACTTTATGGAATCTGCATTCAGGTATATATTTCGTTGTGCTTTGGGTATTAACGTTAATACGTTGTTATAGTCAAGTGATGTTCCAGTTTTACAGGAGATAGAAATGTTGCTGTATTCGAGGTTTTGAAAATAGATACAGGATAGATACATCCACACTGTAAAGATTGTTTTCATCTGCATTTCATTGGAAGTGAACATCCAAGGGGACTAGTGAACAAAATACAGTAAATCTCTACTTTTGACGATGAATCACCTATTCCAGGCTATATAAAACACCTTCTTCTTCCTCAAAAAATTATTGCAAATTACAAAAAAAGGAAAATCCAATTTTCTGAAACCGTCACCCTAGCATAGCCCCTTAAAACTCTCATTTTATCACACGTTGCAATAAATTCGTATTGCATGGCCAATTGAATAAAATATCTCTATTGCCATTCGTTTAATGTCGTTATAACACTACTTAAAGTCGACACGCTACAAGCCCATAAACGCTGTCAACCGTGACTCGTTCCTCTTGCAGCCAGAAAGCCCTCGTCCAATTTTTCACTGGGCCGGTTCGAGTGAACCCAAGAGATATTTAAAGGTCCGTCTCGGTGAATCTCGTCGGGTCGCGAGGGTTCCGTGACTCGGCCGATCTCTTTTCGCGTCCTCCCACGCTCGTCTTCCGGCGGTCTTTGGTGTCGCCGCCGCCGACGCCGACAGGTTTGCTATGCCGTGATCCAGGCGACCAAAACGTTCGCCACCCACCCGCGCCGCATGTCATTAGCGGTGTGTTTGCGGGCGAACGTAACAGTGACTTATGGTATTTGTCTCCTCTTGTACACGGTTACGTAATACGGATCTCTCGGTGCTCCGTGGCTGGTTTAGTGTCTCGCCGTCGCGTAGGTGAACGGGAACCATTCCTGTTGCTTTTTACGTTTTATTCCCGTGACGGAACGAGGCGGATCGATGAAAGGGATTCTTGTCATTGTTCGAATTCGGCTGGATATTCGCTGAGCTGCAATCCTTTCGTTGATTGTTCCATTCATGTTTTATGTAGATTGATAGCTTTCGAGGACAATCTGAAGTCTTGTTCAGAAAGGTACATTCTCTTGGTCTAGCATACTCGATTCGACGATTCAACGTCTTTTGAAGTAATGGTCGTAGAAGATATATTCTTCGTGGATTAGTCGCGCTGATGCGCTACCGCTGAACGGGACTCTGAACCATGAGCTTGCATGTATTCGGTAAATTTCAATGTATTTAATAAATTTAATACTCTTTGAGGAAAGAAGTTCTTGTATTTAACATTATTGATACTCTTTAAAATGTATATTTTCTGTATCAATAACTGAAAGTAAGTAGCTAAAGGGTTTCGCTAGAAAGGTAGCTGAAGGTACTAATAAGTAATCGTATATGTTCCATTTCTGGGGTGTAATTTCGCAATCCACAGACGTCATAGATTAAGAAACTGGATTGTGAATCTTCGACATTATTCACTTCACTGTGATCAAAATACACCCTAAAGTTTTCGACTGTTACATTTTAACATTCTTGCATTCCACCATAAGACATCGAACATCAAGACTTATGAATAAAATCGTGACCCAGTACTATAAATCTCAAACGAAACTCTGGAAAGAAAATATATTAAGATCAGAAAAACAATGATTAGTTACTCACGAAATGGACCTAAGTTACGTATTACTCGCGATCCTCCCAAGGAGGCACTCGGTCCCAGGGCCCGATTACGATCAAACGAGCAAGAGCTACTTTGCGCAGCCGTAATCATCGTTGGAATAATTTTCTAGTTTAACCTTCCCTCGAACCGAAGACCGTGAAACCGCAAACCGTTGGCGACCGTTACCATCCAGTCTACCGACCGCGAATGGGTTCCGCGACGGTTCCACCAGAGGTTCCTTGACTTTTGCGCCGGCGTTGTTTGCATTCGCGTACACATGCCCGCCGAACGGAGTAACGAACTCGTCAATGAACGTCTACGCGATAATGAAACACGACAATACGCGACCGGATGTTCCCACCCACCGTCGTTTATATCGGCGGGGCCCCGTGGCGCTCGCTAATGACACGCTAATTCGCACTGTTGTTTCGTTTTCGCGGATTTTTTTGGTTCTCTGCTCTCCTGACACTTGTCAAAGTGAGACCTGTGTTAATTGACCTGACACGCTGACACGTTAAGCAAATTGTAAGAGATTTTTTTCTCGGAAATGTAGCCTTGAATAATTAAAAAATTTCATTCTAACCGATGGGTTAACAGCAGGGTTCAATAAGGTGGTACTTTAACAACGGAGTCGTATAAAATATTAAATTTCAGCATCTTTAGTGTAAGAGTATTACTGACTGATATGATCATAGGGTATTGTCGAGGGGGTTAGTCTCTTCCAGACAGGTATCTGAAGATTACCATTTCTAAAAATAAATATTTAGAATATAATACCCACTGAAAAATAATCTTCATTTCGGGTCATATACATCCAAGGATAACAGGGTTAGAGGGTGACTTTTGTCGAATGATATACGTTCCAAAGGATCATGTGGGACATTCAGTTCCAAGGTCCAAAGTTCATCTTCCTTCTTCAATCAAAATGGACTCCAAAGGTTAGCCCTCGAAAACCGTAAGGATCTCCTTGATCTCACCGCGGAACGAAAGCACAGATAACTCATTTCACGAGCCGTGTACACGAGCGTAGGCAGCCGAGCTCGCCTATTTACGTCCTTAAGCGAGGACGAATCGCGCGAAAACGAGTGGGCCGCTCGATCGCGGACCAACGGGGAAGTCGTACCCGGACAATGAGGTATACATATACGCGCTAATGAAACGCGACAGCCGGCGCAAAGTCACGTCCGATCGCGTGGCGTTAAACGCCGGCAGACGAGTCGCAGGTTCCTCGAGGCTGACAGCCCGCGACTGACGCTCCGACCGGTTTCTACGGTTTCGTGTGTCAAGGGCGATTTTCGGTGAATTCTTTCGTGGCGAGCAATTTTGGCTGGTAGGTCAATTTACATACGCGACGTGAATTGATAACTAGAATAATTGACAATCGAACGGGTCACGGAGTAATTATTTTGAGATAAGGGAAGGTTGCCAAATGTGGACTACTGTCTAGGTTGGACAATTAGTGTAACTTATCATGTGTAAACTATTTTCCCTGTATGATAGACAATATGTGTATGATAGTGGTGATTGCATTGAAGAACTTGTATATAAGCAACACATATTATCTATCATACAGTGTAAATCGGTAACCCATGACAAGTCACAGTTGTGGTCCAACCCAGATGATGGTCCAAATTCCTCGTACCTCTAACCAGCATTAAGGTGTTCACCTGGAATCCTCTAACCACAACCCAATCCGCAGTAAGAGTCTCCCGAATAAAAGAAATTACATTTGAACGGTTTATATCTATCAAGAGTTGATCAATTCATTTAACAAGACCTCAGAAAAATCTCTATATATCTGCCTCAAGAACATGTACTTACGACTCGCACAGAACCTATAACTAGCGAAAGAGAAAGAGCGCCAGCCCAAGGACGTTCACGGAGGATCGTTTATCCGTCGTATGGCATACGATCGGTCATCGACATGTTGCGCAACAGAACATTTCC